TTTTACATAACCCCCGTTCTTCAAAGTTTTCATTCGGCTGAATTCAAATTGCACAATCTTGTGAGAACTCTCAATTTAATCCATGATCTTGGAAGAAACCCCCAATTAGATTTATCTTAAAACCCCCACAGAATTCTCAACCCAATTTGATTACACCAATCCTAAATTGGACCTTATCAAACTATCTTTTGATCATACAACAAAAATGATTATGTGTAGTTGTTGTATATATGCAATGAGAGAGGATGGAGATGATGAAAAGACTTTGTATATTTTTTGTTTCATTTTTATATAAATGATGCATGAATGAGTGAATATATATATATATATATATATATATATATATATATATATATATATATATATATATATATATATATATATATATATATATATATCTGTGTGTGTGTGTGTGTGTGTGTGTGTGTGTGTGTGTGTGTGTGTGTGTGTGTGTGTGTAAAAAAGAATAAAAAAATTAGGTTTGCAAAATTACATATTTGGACATTTTGAACGGTGATACTCGACCCATTCATGGTGGGATTTGACCCACAAGGGCAAGGGAGTCAATCCATACTGCCTGGAATTCGACTCTAAGTGGACATAGAATTTTTTGGAAAATATGCTTTAGTAGGAGTCAAGACATAGCATGTGGGAGTCAACTCCTTTGTGCTTTATATCGAATCCAAATGCCTGGGAGTCAACTCATCCTGGACAGGGATTAAATTTCAAAATAGATTTCAGTGGGAGTCGATCCCCAACTCAAGGGAGTCGACTCCTTCATTTTGTGTATCAATTCCAAGACCCTATGTATCGACTCCTTTGCAACATAGAGTTTTATTTCAAAAAACTTTCAGTGGGAGTTGACTCCTAATACGAATGAGTTAACTTAAAACATGATTTTTTACAAAAAAAAATGGTATTTTTGACATTTTAAACTTGTTCAAATGCTTTTGACTTTTTTCCTAAGTATCCTAAGATGAGAATGCAACCTAGACATAGAAAGATAGGGTCAAATATACAAATACTACATATTACATAGTTTTGACATCATTCAAAATATTTAAGAGAGGATATTGCACTCACAAACATTTGTTTGCCTTTTTCATAAATGTTGCAAAATAGGGTGTGTATGAATTCCAATATACGTACACACCTATGAGACTATATTTTGGTTTCTATTTTCTTACAAGTAGCAAAAAAGGGTGTGTCCGAATTCTAATCTTTGAGCATACCCCTGAGACAACATTTGGGTGTCTATATTCATACAAGTTACAAAATAGAGTGTGTATGGATTTCAATCTCCATGCACAGTCTTGAGATAACATTCAGGTGTCTATTTACATACATGTTGCAAAATAAGATGTGTCCAAATTCCAATCTTTGCACACACCTCTGAGACAAATTACTTTATAGACAATATTACCTTTAATATTTTCATCATTCATAATTTGGATAAAATACTACTCAGAGGTTTCAAAACATAGTACTCAATCATTCATAGTGAATTTGCATAAAATACAACTTTGACACATTTCTAACATAGAATGGATATTCATAAGTTGGATACATAAGTTACATGCATAAGTCATACAAAAACCCTTCATAACTTAAAATCCAACTACTAGGTGTATCACACGCCTCTGTTCCTCCTCTGCCTCATATACTATAGTATAAATCGATTCTCTAATTATATCGTCTGTAAGGTGACTGTCTCGGGGTGTCTTCTTGAAACTCCCTTCGAGTAATGACATATCTTCCAATAACGACAATAAGTTGACATATAGGTAAGGGTGTGTCTGGACATTGAAATCTGGATGCACCATGTGTTGCTTAAAATATACAAAAAAAGCCTTTGCATCAACACTAACATTATTTTCAACGACATCCAAGTGATCAATATAATTTTCTTCATAAATGAAAATCTGGCATAACATCCTCTGGTATCTATAATCTCCTTTTGGGAATCACCCAAATCATCTCCTAATTCTTTCATCATTAGATCCAATGCCTTAGATCTCTGAATTGAAGAGTGACCCAACAATCTTCACGTGATTTGAAGATGGAGGATCTATGATACGTTATCAAGAGTAATATTCATCTCACTAATGGGAAGATGAAATAATGACGTCTTTGCATGCCCTATCTCAACAAATTCCTATAGAAGACCAAGTAAATATAACCATATCATATCATACATAAGTCCTTCAGTGCAAATAGCTTCAATACTTCTTGAAACCATGATTCATCTGGCTACTGCAACTTTGTTATCTTCCTAGCATGGTTAATACACTTTAGTGTGACATGATATTTCAATAATAAATACATCAACGTAAGACGATTCAATTAATATAAAATAGATGTTTAATACCATAATTAAATATTTAAGCTACCTCTCCTTCTCACACATGTCTAGCGGTATAGTTTGCCTATCAATGGAGTGGTGACATGTTATCTAGGCCTAAAAATCACTAGGGTACGTTAGCACCAGATCTGGCTTAAGGATGTAGATCATGCGGGTGTACAACAGCATTAAGAGCATGTACGGTAGCAACAGGTGCATCTCAGGTGTTAGAGATCCATGACCATGGGACGAAGATCCATGAACAACACGAGATGATCCTCCAACTACACGTGATGATTTAGCTTTCTCCCTAGGCGTTGAAGCATGTTGAGACAATTGATTGTGTTTGTACCTTGGTTGTTCGTCATCCGTTTTTATATAATCCCACAAGATAAGGAATAAGATAATCATAATCAGGGCACACTTCAAAAATTAACAAACAACTACTCATTATAACATAAATAGAATGACAAACATTATTTTTCGATAATTAAAGAAACAATATGTATTTTGTAATTCGGGTTTGACCCTAACAATAGTCTGTATTTTGAAATTCGAATAAACAGTTCGTGTTTTGAAATTTGGATGACCCTAACATACATCATAACTCTTACCAACATCATAACCCTGACCTCAAATGTCTCAAATTCAAATGAAATATAAGTAGGAGACAAAAGATATTACATTTCTATTGGATGTAATATAATGTAGCTTAACTAGAATATATGAAGACATTACATACATCAAAATAAAAATAAAATAGCAAGGTGAGGATGAGAAACATATCAAGCATTCTTCAAACGTTGGAGATAAATGTGCTTAGTATGAATGAATGAAAAGGAGTAGAAATTGATTAAGGTGTTTAATGTGACCGAAGTGGAGTAGAAATTAAAATATAGTTGAAAGAATGTTGAATCCAAAGTTTTTAAAGGATCTTTTCGTGCTCTTTAGAGTTGATTTCAAATGTAAGAGAATGGTGAGAGAAAGAGTGATCGTGTCATTTAAAAAAATGTGTCCGGAGTCCATACCCGAAAGGTGTATCCGGAGATTATGATCAAAATATATGTTTCTTTGCGGTGGGTGCTTGCAGCTTTTCTAAACTTGGTTAGTTGCAGCATGTAGTACGTTCGGATCTCAAACTTTGAACGATGTGAGATAGATAGTTTTTATTTAGGATGCGAGAGAATTACCAAGCAGGGTGAGCAACCCCAAGAACATGCTCAATGAACAGGCTCAAAGCCATATTATACGAGGTTCTTACCTCAACGTATGAGGCAACAGGATAGAACAATGCGATAATCTACCCTGAATACATCCTTGGAAACTAACACACATTAATCAGCATCTAAAAGCATTGGCTTGCTCACACTGTTTCGAGCTATATCGACCAAAGTAGATATGTGTCACCACCTATGTTGGTGTCAGTTACAACAATAAACTCATGTCTATCCACTAATGATTTCTGAGATCACTTCGGTTAAAATAGCTTTTGCATGGGACGTATCAGAGCCTAACTACTATATAATTAAGGATTATTCCTCTTTGATCAGACAATCAACTCACTTAATCCGAGACGGAGCATATGAGAAGCAGATAAGCAAATCAAAGTAATACATACACCAGCACATCACAATTAGTGACGTAAGATTGCATCACATGCTCAAGTGCTCAAGTGATTCATCCTGCAAAAGTGTGTTAAATCTTTGTTCACATCATCATACAAAACACACTGCATCAGAAAATCCTCCTCACAGTCTCAACTGAATGCCCTACAATGTGTCATACAAGATTCTTCACCTTAGATGGAACATTGATGCGTCAAACACTATATAATCGTCCTTCTACTTTGATATGATCCAAGTCTAACACATAATTCATGCTTGAGTGATAGTACTTAGTAGGAATGACAACAGGGTAGGTTAGAAACAAATTTAGCCTCCTCAATCCCTCCCTGCCCTCAGCCCCACATCCGTTTTAGGATTGAAATTTGGATCCCTTCTCGCCCTCGAAGGAGAGCAGCGCTCATAGACAATATACAAGTTTTTTCTTCCTAGCTCATTGATGCTGATATGGTCTCACCAGGTCTGAGAATGTAGCTCCATAATATTCCAAAACTGTGGCTTCTTTAAGCCAGGGTCAGAGTTACAGTTGACCAACTTATATTAATCAACAGCATTACTTAACATGAAATTTGAAGATCTTTGGGAAGAACTGTTACCTGATTTGCATATCAAATGATTGCAATCAAAGTGTTTAAACAGATTAACACTATTGCTAGTGGAACATTTTCTATCAACTGTGACATATTTGCATGGTTAGGTTTCAATTAAAACTACAATAGTTAATCTCTGATATCATTTATATAGCTTCTTGGAGTGTTTGCCATTTAATAACTTGTAAAAATAACTCAGTTTCTAGTTGCATTCACAGTTATTAGAATCTGGTCAATCAGTCATTGCATATTAAGTATACTAAAATCAAGTTCCCACGCATTTTACCATGTGAAAAGCTTGTAGTAAAATTATAGAAGATAACATAACATCCTGGTAATCAAAATTCTCAAATGAAGTTTTTAAGAACCATTGCAGGAAAGAATATACACAATAACTAGTAGTATAAATATACTCGTCATAACCAATAGCTTCAATGGAGGCTATAATTAGGAACTGAGGCCTAACTGAAGTCCAAAGGCAGCATGAATAAGAAAGAGTGTCATGATACTACTACCCAAGATGCCATGAACATTCCTTAATGCAGGATTTCCCTGCATATCATTCAGGTAACAGAGAGTGAAGGATGGAAAATGGTAACAAATTCAATGAGTGAAAATCAACAATGTCAAAACTTTCAACCCATTCTTAGCTTTTTAACGGGTTACTTTGGTTACTAGTTTCTTGAAAAATGTTCCTAATAGCAAGATTGTAGCTGAGTAATTTGCACAAGAACATTCTTCAGGTTGTGAAACACTGACAAAGACATGGACACGGGGCTAACATGTAGACATTAGATATAATCTAAGAAAATGTAAGTGATTAAATATGTAATCACATATGCCAGTGTCTTACATGCACTTTATATTTTAAGTGTCTGTACTGTAAAACTCAATTTTCACTAGTTTATGAATGAAAAATTCAAACAAATTTCAGTGAAGATAACTTGGATCAAAACAACAACAACAATCAAATTTTTCCCACTACGTGGGATCGACTACTTGGATCAACTTTTTCCAAGACAATGATTAAAAAATTGGCTGAAATATAGGAAAGGAAATTAAAGCAAGCTAGCTCATTTGAAATAACCATTACCTCAAATAGCGAAGGTAATATAGTCTGTATCGTCAACAAAGCAAGACCAATAACGCCTGTAACAGCATGAGGACTGCATTGAAACAAGATCATATAAGGATATTATTGTTTTTGGTATAGACAATGAATAAACAAGTCATGTGATAGAAAGTTAGAAATTAAATTAACAAGTAATAGGGTTCAAAAGAAACATAACCTGTCAAAAATGGGTTTATCTGATGTGAGTAAAGATGTTACTCCACCGGTAGCTCCTAGAGCAAAAAAGAAAAACATACCAGCTAAAAGCTTGGGATGCAAGTCTTTGGCCTTAGCCTTTTCCTCCTGCAAATTTACTACCCTATAGTTAATCAATTTGGTTCTATATTCAATTTCAATTTAATTAAAAGAAGTTTCTCATCAAACTACTAAAAGAGAACTATACAATGTTACAAGTTCCAACTAACATTTCTCAGTCACTTGTGTTCATCTCATAAAAGTTATAATATAATTATACAGAAATAAAAGATAAACGGATAACAAGTTGCGTCATTGTATGAAACTTTCAGAAGTCACAATGGAGCCTAGTAATAATTGAACTTAAAATTATAAAACAGCATAAGAACAGTTTCAGTTAGCGTACCGCGTCATCGGAATAACGTATACGGAAACCAAGATAAGTACCATAACCACCCATAGCAAAGAGCACAACGGCCTGCGAGTCCAAACACAAACATTAACTAACTTAACAAACTAACATACCGAATAACACTATTTTAATCTTTCTGTAACTGAAATCAGTTACCATATTGGCAGGGTGGCCCCAATGTACGAGCCAATCCGGTAGATTCAAAGACTTCACTATCTCAACAAAAGGCTCAAAAGCCGATTTCACAGCTCCATCTGATAAGTTTAATTCAATACTAATTTATACTTTTTATTACGTCGAATGTTTCAATTAACTCATTAATTAAGTTGTAATAAAGTACCTCCGGGAATGAGAGCGGCGGTGTAAAGTAACGGCAACGGAGAGAAAGAATGTAAGATTGTTTCCGTCTTTGTTCTCGTAAATTGTAGAGGTTCAGGCGAGTCTTCCTTTGTGGCGAGACATTTTAGGTTGAGACGAAGGTGCAGTGATGGAGTTGTGGGGAAAGAAGAGTGGCGAATTGGTGATAGAGGACGGAGAATCACGCCGATGGAAGAAGTAGTTACCATTGCCATTTGGTATGGGAAAATAACACCAAAAGAAAATAGAGAAGTTGTTGATGTTGTTAGGATGGAAAGTGAGAAGTTGGTGTTGTAGTGGTGAAAATGTAAGATGGAGAGTGAGTTGGAGTGGAAAGGCGAGGAAAGAGACACGCCTGTATTTTACGATGCGACTTGCACTTTTCCACGTGGTTTCAACACGCTCCTCTATTCTTTAGTTTTTGTCTTGGACAAATATAAATTTTTTAACTTTTCTATCTTCAACCAATTATAATAATATTTAATTTATTATATTTAATTATTTTTAAAAAATAATATATTATTTTCATACTCTAATGAGAGTTCTACCCAACCTTAATTTATTTTACAATACTCTTCCAATTATGTAAACAACTATCTCTTTTTAATATTTTATATTAAATTTTTTTATTTTTTTAAATATTAAAATATTTTATAATTATTTTAGTATCAATTAAGTTAATTAAAATTTTATTTAAGCGATTAAAATATATAATATTTTTTCAAGACTTCTAAATCATTTGACTTTTTTTTAAGAGTATCAATAAAATGAGTCATATCATCTTTCTCAAGACTTTCAACCATTTAAAGTATACAATATATATTTACAAAAGACTCAAAAAGAGGCGGCGTAGGGGGTCTCTAAGGACTGAAAATGTCATATATCACGATACTAATTACTTAGTCGACTATTTATTAGAACATACACTCATTATTTGTAATGGCCGTCCTTGATTGGAAAGTTCTACCGTTTATGAAAACGGGGGGATTGGTGTATATAATAGTGGGGAAAAGGAAGTCAAGAAGGAGAAGACACATTCTCTAAAGGAATAGGGAGAGTAACTATCTATTTTCCACACTCCTAAGCGTGAAACGTGTTGTTACTGCTTCCTTAGAGCCTAAGATTTAGACCCGAGAGATTCTTATAAATGCCTCAACCCTAAGTTCTAAAGAGAGATTTATTCACTCTAAAAATATCGTATTTGGGTATTTTCACCACCTTTGTGTGAGCTTGCTCTAACACATCGACAACCCTAAAACCTATGTCACCCTTACAACACAAGAGGTTGTCACGTATTGTACTTTTAGTAAGTATAATTAGCTCATCATGAAGTCCCAGTAAAACTGACTTAGGTCTCCATCACATCATCTGACTAGATTGTTATCCTCGCCTCCAACTCATCTATTTAACATGGTGAACAAGAAGACAACAACTCCGGCCAACAACGAGTTTGATGGCGATGAGGATGCCATGGAAGAAATGCATATTGCCATGGATGACATCACTAGTGCAGAAATGACTTTTTACATCGGGTGAAACTGACTTTTTACATCGATTCTGGGTCCGATGTAAAGTCAGACGATATAGTAAATCAGGTACTTTTTACATCGGTTCTGGGACCGATGTAAAAAGTCTCCTTTTTACATCGGTTATAATATAAGAATGATGTAAGAAATAGTTATTACAATATTTTAAAAAAATTGATCCAATTTTTTACATCGGTTGGAAGTAATACCCGATGTAAAAAGTACCCTTTTTACATCGGTTATAATATAAGAATGATGTAAGAAACAATTATTACAATATTTTAAAAAAATTGATCCAATTTTTTACATCGGTTGGAAGTAATACCCGATGTAAAAAGTCCCAAGTGACGCAACTTTTTACATCGATTATTACTCCCAACCGATGTAAAAAGTACCTTTTTGAAAGTTTTTACATCTGTTTTGAGTAATAACCGATGTAAAATGTATGAAATTTTTTGGCAATAGATTATTTATTTTCTGGATATTTCCCTGTACAAATATAATTTGTACCCATTTTTTCATATTTTTCCAATATCACACAGACTATATTTATGTCGCTATATAGATTTCATAGCTTTCCAACATCACATAGACCACATCTAGGTCGATGTTTTCATATTTTTCACAAAAAATTTACAAATTGAACAATTGTATTGCAAACTTGTATTTTATTACTACAATTACAAATTCTTCACAAAATATACAAAAATATTCAACTATTTATAAGTCTTTTTCAAAACTTACAATTACATATTATTTACAAAATATTCAACTATTTCTAAGTTTCCAAACTTGAATTACCAATATAAAATCTTCGGTAGACAACACCAAAATCACATTGCCTGACAATAAATAATAACAATTAACATCAGCAAAAAAAATCAAGAAACTCAATACATGTGCAAACACATGTATTGTGCAAAAACCACAACTTATACAATTCTATAAAACTCACCAAGATAAACTTAATGTTCATGTAACTCAAAGAAACATTTTGCCCAACGAAGTCGCAAATCATACAAATCATCTGGTGTTAATTCTGTTGGGTCATCAAATACCTATAATACATAAATATAACAATATAGAGTTATTTTTTAAAAATTCATATTAAGTCGAAAAACAAAAAGTAAATAACAAAGTAAAGTTATTTTTAGTACCTACATCCAATTCTCGGTTATATTAGCAGAGACAATATCCAACATATTTTTCATCATATAGTATCCACAATCATTAGAGTTATGTTGTTGCCTTGTCTACAATTGAATGACATAATTAGTGAATATTTATCATAAATTTAACTATAGAATTACAATTTACATCACACTTACATTGGGATGAAGCCATGTAGTCTTTTTTCTATTTTCATTTGCCATTTAATGAATCCCAAAAGAACTAATACAGAAAGATAAACATCACATAACTAAATTTACTCGCCAATGAAAAATCACATAACTATTAGTTGTCAATGAAAGTCACATGAAAGATAAACTTACTTTGTAATAATTTTCTTCGTGTGATGGTCAATTTCCCGATGAAGTGAACAAAATACGACAACTAAATTGTCTCTTGGACACATGACTATTAATTGCCAATGTCTCCTGTACGTGTGTGTGGAAACAGAAAATTCACATAAAATATATATGTTATCAAAATTAAATAATATAAAACACAATTTCATAAAAATTCTTACCCATGAATTAATGGTAGTAAGTGGCACACTCTGTTTTCATCATGTAACTTTTCTAGTACGTAATTTTTAACATCTTCTTGAGATTTCGCTACATTATCATTATAAATACACCTAGCAGGGTCCATAAATCCATATAATTCTGAAATGGAATTCTCAAGACAAACACGATGAATATGCCTGAATAATTTTAAAATAAACATTAGAATTAAAGTGATGAGAGATATAACATATTAATAGAGATTGACTTTAATAAAACAATAAAATGTACTTACGTGCACCAAATTTGCAGAATAGACACGTCAAGCCAATGACCTAAACCCATCAATAACTCTCTGATACATTTAGCTGAAACATAAAAATTAGAGACACTCGCACAATGACTTAATTGTATTGCCAAATGGTTATCATCCATTTTCAAAACCATGAGTAACAATCTCTGAACATCATCAACTTCCACGTCTTTTGTGCTCTCTTTTGTGCTTCCCTTTGCAGCTGAACAACTTCCTTTTCCGCTTCCATCGATAATTTCCAATTTTTCAATGCATTTATTATCACATGTGCTTTGTGATAAACCCATAGACTTAAGTGTCTCCATTAATGATTGTTGAAACATCTTACGCTCTTCAACCAACTTTTCTTCAAGTTCAGCTCTAAGTTTTGTTTCCAATATTGCAAGTTGTTCATTTACGTCAATATGTTGACGTGATCTTCCAAAGTAAGTGCTTTGTTTATGGTGTTTTCCAACACCACTGTGATCGGTGGATCTGGAACTGACTGTTTAACGCTGGTTCGCGAAATGTCGCGGAAGCAAGAGTCGCCACCGTCTTTTATTTTCTCCAAATGGAAAGGACAAAAGCACAGAAAAATTCCTTAAAGAGATTGCTCTCGGTTCGGGAGGTAGGTTATAGAAAGGGAAGGTGTTAGCACCCTTTCTATCCATGGTTATCCATGGGCTCTTAGATACTTGCTCATTGTGTTTTCAAAAATGTTTGCTTGCTTTTTCAATTGTGGGTTTTAAAAAAAGTTTCTTTGAAAAATTTCAGTTCGACTCGTACGTCAGAGTGTTTGAAAAATTTGCTTTGAAAGCTTTTGAAAAGTGTTGGTGTGAGAAGTCTTTGAATTTTTGTTTTGAAGAGAGCAAGTATCCATGAGTCGTCTACCTACCCTAAGGAATTCGTCTGTGTAAATGTCCTTTAAAGTAGTGCCATCCCACCATTGAGAGGTAGGTAGCACCACCGTTGGAGGTGTTCGGGTCAATTCGAGTTTGTAGGGACATGGTGATCACCGGAGCAATGGGAAGACACCTTAGAAGCTACCCTCATGCCAGGTTCCCGGATCATGAGGACTTACTAAGACATCCTCTACTCGACGATCACCTTTCGAGGCAACAGTGAGGCGTACCCTAGGGGTGGTGTGTGCGAATTGTGTGTCGTTTTCATTGATGTTTGTCTTGTCATGTTTGTTGTGATCTACGCTTGATTTTATTTTTAAGGCCATACATTCTTTCATGCTTATTTAACAGTTTAAAGGTATTTGCGGGAAAATAAATCTAAGGCTATTACAAATGGCGCGGGTCCACATCGCCAAAATTAATCCGGACCCGATTTGACAGAAAAGTAATAAAGCAAAAGAAATAATAGTGCAAGAAATTTAAATTACAATGCTTTGGGAGAGATACAAAATTAATTAAACGACATAAAATAAAATACGCGAAATTAAAGAAACGAGGGCGTTGGACCCTTTTTGCAAAAGATAAGGAATTAAAATAAAAAATGAAAATTAAATGTTTTTGGTATTTTTGTGTTTTTTATGATGTAATGGAAAAAGAGAATTAATTACGATTAGAATAAAATGTCAAACCCTAATTCTGATGGTTTTTAAGTTTATTGCGAAAATATTAAGTTTTAACCTAATTTAAATCTAAGTTAATTTACATGCAAAATTTAATTATAGAAAATAAATAAAATAAGCAATATTATTGTAAAAAGGGAAATTAAGA